CTCTATAGCCGAGCGTTTTCATTGATAGCATCCAAAAGCCACGATTAACAGGCACGAGCGATAGGAGGCATGAAATTTGGCATCTCTCAACAGATATGTTGGCTCATTAATTAGGTAGTCACAATTCACTTTTAAATGTTCTAATTAGATGTGTATAAGAGACAGGTATTAACTTGTGACTTTCTATGTATGTTCTAGATTCTACGAACTGACGATGGAGCTGGACTCCGAAACGTTTTCTATAAAGATATGAATTTTTGTGGACTTTTCTTTGCTTTCAAATTTTTAGTCAACTTGCGATTTAAGCAAATAAGTGACATTAATACTTCCAACGATAATTAATGCGTCTGAGACGTCTTAAATGGTTGAGTCAAACCAAAATAGTAACGTGGCATGCATTAACTTGATAAAGGGCCCATAGCATACATTAAATCAAAAAGATGATAGGAAGTGAATTGCACTCTGGTCACTGTGAGCAATACAACAGCCTAGAACACCCTTTGAGTCACCTCCGTATCACATAAGCTTCTATGCTTCAGTAGTTCCTTCCACATCAATACTTAATCTAACTTAATCTTTTAGGTCTCCGTTACATTAGAACGGAACAAAATTTCCTAATAAACGGAACAAACTGAGCAAAATTTCTAATAATATTACATAAATATTATTTGCATTCCCAGAGCTGTGATTAAGACGATGGCTTGCAAGCGGCAGGTAAGAGAACTACAAGACACACGAGCACTTGGCCCAAAACATGGTTTATGAGGCGGTCCAGTTTTCTACTGTAAAATGAATTTCTTCTAAGCACATAATTGAATTTTTGTTTACAGCCTCATTAAAAGTGTTGAAGGCACTAAATTAGCCATTCCACCATCAAGTTTTCTGAGATACACAAATTAGGTAAATATTATTATACGGCCTTCTGCCTTATTTGTGACGGAACGATTCTCCCCCAGTGAGCTATTCACCCCAGGGAGCTATTCACCCCAGGGAGCTATTCACCCCATGGAGCTATTCACCCCAGGGAGCTATTCACCCCATGGAGCTAATCACCCCAGGGAGCTATTCACCCCAGGGAGCTATTCACACCATGGAGCTATTCACCCCAGGGAGCTATTCACCCTGTCTCTTATACACATCTAGATGTGTATAAGAGACAGATAGAAACGTACAGGGACGTTAGAAACGTACAGGGACGTTAGAAACGTACAGGGACGATAGAAACGTACAGGGACGTTAGAAACGTACAGGGACGTTAGAAACGTACACATACAGGGACGTTAGAAACGTCCAGGGACGTTAGAAACGTCCGGGGACGTTAGAAAACGTACAGGGACGATAGAAACGTACAGGGACGTTAGAAACGTACAGGGACGTTAGAAAACGTATAGGGACGATAGGAACGTACAGGGACGTTAGAAAACGTACAGGGACGATAGAAACGTACAGGGACGTTAGAAACGTACAGGGACGTTAGAAAACGTATAGGGACGATAGAAACGTACAGGGATGTTAGAAACGTACAGGGACGTTAGAAAACGTACAGGGACGATAGAAACGTCCAGGGACGTTAGAAAACGTACAGGGACAATAGAAACGTACAGGGACGTTTGAAACGTACAGGGACGATAGAAACGTACAGGGATGAAAGAAACGTACAGGGACGTTAGAAACGTACACGTACAGGGACGTTAGAAACGTCGTCCTGGGATGTTAGAAAACGTACAGGGACGGTGGAAACGTATAAGGACGTTGGCCAGGTAAAAACAGCGGGAAAAGTTGTTTGGAAATAAAATAATTTAGTAAAAGATATTAGAAAGAACTTTTCACTTTATTTAAAATTTTTCATAAACATTTATTAGGGGCGATGGTAAAGCCAGCCAGTGATGGACACTGAACTCGGACCAACTGCAACCTTCTTATAGAATTTTCTTTAAGTTATCTGAACATAGTTTGGAGATGGGACAAGGATATTGGATGAATTTCGACATTTACAAAGGAGGATTCCTTTCAAAAATACAACTCGCCTTATTACGTATGCCTTTGACGCAGTTTTAAAAGAGTATTTGAATAAAAACATAGGATATTCAAACAAATAATATAAAAACATTATACATATATATATATATTGTTTAATTATTATAAGATGGCAGAAATTTCTTAATCATATGCGCACAATTTATGACCAGAGAGTGCATTTGAATTTTCAAGGAGTTGAACAATTCTTAGATGACGTTGGTAGATCAAAAGGCAGATTTAGCAAATAATAATATATTAACGACGTTTCGAATGTAGCAACATTCATTTTCAAGTTAAGAGAAGCATTGAATAGTGAAATTTGGTTGGACATAAGTACATAATACACGTAAATAGGATACAACACAAAAATTTCGAGCCAGAAAGTCCTTACGCAAACAATCTCAAATTTTATTTTAGACAAATCCGGTAGCTTGGAAATCGATAGCTGGGGTCCAATTCAAAATTAAGACGGTTCCAGCAATCGTTGGTCGATTAATGTTGTGCACCTCCGCATGATGACGCTGGTGGGTTTCTCCAGCACGATATATTTCTCTTTAAATTGTACGCATATAATCAAGAAATTTCTGCCATCTTATAATAATATATATATATATATATAACGTAACGTATTAGTATATATATATATACTAATGCCATAATTGACCAAGTTCTACACTAGGAAAAGCAAGTCAGGGAGGTTGGGCAACTATAAAAAATTCAGGTGATAAGAAATTCTTATGAAGAGAAGTCAAGCACATGAATTGTTTACAACACAGGAACCAACAAAATTTTGTCATCAATACATTCTAAGAAGCAAATGTAATTCAACATTCACACATGGCTCATCACAGTTATGTTAGTAAACAACCGCAAATTATTCTAATTACGGAATTTAATTTTGAATGCATATGGTATTGAATGCATAAGCTTGCTGGAAGTATGAAAGAGTTTGATAGAAAAGAAAGGCATAGAGTTTGATAAAGTGTATATTTCTAACCTTTAGCACATTAGATGCTTAAATCATAACAAACTTACAATGTTTAGATTATTAACCTGATATTATTTTAAATTTTCCACAATATATATCCTCATGCATTTGATGTGATTATCACTCAGTTTGAATAACAACATTGACATATGTTCACCTCAAATTAAAATTCCATTATCAGGCAACATCCACCCAAGCCTAATGCTATAGAAGCCCATTCATTCTAAGCTTTACAGAGGGAAGAGGTTGGTTGGTGTCGGACATCTATAATCATCAATAAAAATGACTAACCTAATGTAGCCTGCCTCTTAAACAACCTACTCCTACCATACCTTCCATGCAAAGCAAATATCACAGAGAACAATTGCTAAATTATGAAGAAACAAAATTGATGAAACATTCATGGACTAGGGTTTAATGTGAATCGCAGTTACAATAATAAATTGAAACGATCGTCATTGGATTTACTAAACAGAAGTTTAGTCAGAAAAAATCAAATAAAAATTACATTAGTTTTCTACTCAACAATCACAATATCAACAGTAGATCTTGAATCGAGTATCTCTGAATGAAACCTCATGACACAAGTTACACTAGTGACTAAACTCACTCAAGATTTGATAGAATGTCTGTTCATATAACTTAACAAATCTGGTGCATCTTATCCCACAGTTTTGACGCTAGTATATGGTTCAATGTACCTCAAGCAATACCTTGAGGTGTAGGATTATATGTACATCTCATTTGTATGCAATAGTAGATACTGATTCCAGCCTCACTAAAAGAGTTCATATCAAAAGCCAGCAAATTTATTTCCATAGGTACTTTACCACATTTCCCACTCAACACATATGCATTATTCTTACCTTGTCACACAACCAGGTCAACAGTTTCACCCAGCATGTGTAAGCCCCATTTTCAAGACGTGACATTCCACTATATAGTAGAAAAGAGTGTTTGGAGTTTATATGCTCATCAGCCATTTAGAGTGCATATATTAACAAATCTCGTCCACTAGTTACAATGTTATTCCTACATGAATAATGAATTTATTTAACAGTTCATAGTTTACTGTGATGTTGTGATGCTTTATTTGCACTCAACTCATTACGTTCCACAGAATGCATTCTTCGTTTCCACTTATTAGCTAAATGGGGATATTTTTTGAATAGATGGCTTATAGCTGCCTTTCTTCTGAACACTTGATAAAGATATAGTGATACGTTTCCCAGTATTGGGTATTGATATCCAAGTTTGCCAAGCCAGCGCAAGTTTGTAGCAAATGTTTTGTTAATACCAATATGCTCGGAAACAATGGTTTCAAAGGAAAATGTTCTAATTTCACTTTGGTCCTTTTGGAACCGGTTTTTGAATAATAGTTGCAAAAAATAACCAAACTCGATTGCTTCTTTCAAGGGAGTTTTTTGGTGTGATTTTATAACATCCTGAAATCTTATTAAATAACGTAATACTTTATCGTAATTATCATAATCAGTTTTTCTTAAATGAACCGTCTTTTTCCTGTGTAATTTATGCTTTTTCAACCAGACATGTATATTTTCTGGCTTTTCCCATGAAACATATTTTCTGGCTCTGAATACACGACTCTCATTAGGCTCAGGTTGCTTGGGGATTGAGCCTTTGCTGACCTCCTGCTTGGACCCAGCGACACCATCGGTGTTGCCTGATGCCGGTGCTGGCACACCAGCGTCCCTCTGATGATAAAATTGCTTAGCTTATATCAGAGCATGACACTTGTCCATTTTTAATTCTTTTATAAATTAAGTCATCTAATTAGGAGTCAATTTTAGCGAAATATGGTAGTTTTCGCTACAGAAATTGAAACTGAAGACATTATTCTCAAATAAATATCAAAGTTGAATTTAAATAAGTCAGTTTTGATTGCTGAGGCTCAGGTTGCCAGCCCACAGCACAATTATATGCCTCGGATGATCATCCATTCAATGATTAACAATCATTCATTCAATGATTAACAATCATTCATTCAATGATTACATGTGCCTCAGCCAAGAAATAAATTCCAATTACCAGGTTCTAGTTAAGGCAGTGAGCATTCGAAGTAGGAACCTCTCAGGCAACATTGTATGGAAAATGTGTATTCATGTACATGTATAGTTGTTAAATGCATTTCAATTTACAATGTGATAATCAAAAAGACTTTGATTTTTTCTTTCTGGTGTGGTTGCATTTTGAAGTAAATGCAGAATAAAATTTATCATACACATTATAGAAGGAATTTTTCACACAATTACAGAAAAAACTAAAGATTTGAAAATTAAAATTGAATTTTAAAAGATAAATGCCAATAATATTATACTTCGTGAAGTAGAACCTGCATCTCTTTTCAAACTGAGTCCTGCTGTGTCTCAGGGTGTGCATTTCCTTCCTCATTTGGCTGCCAATACTTGGACCAACAAAATGTACTTGGTTTATGATGAAACTCTCTGTCATGACGTTTACGTGTGATGAAAGTCTATGTGTGCCATTGTAGGGAGATAACGTGTGTATGTAGAATGAAATTCTTAGTATCTGCCAAAGAATGGATATTCTATGAGTTAAGTTTGAATTGTCAGCATGTCTTCATTGAGAAAGGTTAAGATAGGAGAACTGCTTTTATAACCCATGCAATTCAAATTATCATCAGACCTGTGCAGTGTTGTGCAGGTCAACAATTCTATCTCCATCTCCCTTTAATGTCATTGGTGTGAAGATGGTGTAAAATTTTGATGCAAATGTAAATGTAATTTAATGTAAAATGCAAATGAAAATAATTTTATTTTCCACATAGCCTAAATTATATGCTATGACAGAAATTATGCCTGAAAAACGAAAATAATGGGTATTGGAGCTTTGTTTCGTAGTTATCAAATCATTAGAAGTTAGCAGCAACTTTTTACAAGAGGGGAAAATGGCATTAGTTAGAAAATAATCATACACTTTTTTTATTGAATTCCAATTTTAATGATTGAGTTGTTCTTGTGTTGTTTTCAAGGAGATTAAGAATAATAATTCTTATCATTAATAATAAAACAAGAACACTAGACAATCATTTGAGTTATATCTGGGATTTGGGCTAAATAAATTTTATCAAAATTATGCTACACAGAATAGGTTAGAGAAGCTAGCACTAAGCATAAAAAATTCCCCCCAACAGGGCATAGATTCCTGTGAGGAGCATACGAGGGAGGCACATACCTCAGCTTTAACTTCCATCTTGACGGGGCAACAAAATAAGGGTACAGGAGAGAGCAGGTCTACAGGAGCAGAGCTGAGGTGTTGACTTGAACCACACTAGGGTAAAAAAAAGAGATAGTAATGATGTGGATATTGGTGATGTGTTTGGTGAGGATATTGATTGATAAGGTGATGTGTGCAGTAAGTGATGGTAATCATGTAGATATTAGTGATATGTGCAATGAGTGATAGTAATGATGTGGATAGTGGTGATATGTGCATTCCGCCAGGCAGCAGAAAATTACATGACTCATAATATTGGTCTTGGTAAGTTGTTGTTCCTCGTACATGAGAGAATGTGATTTGAAAGGAAATTTCAGCTCATTTATATCCAAAATGATACAAGATTCATATGTGCTAATGCTTTTGCTTCTATTTTAGGAGAAACATATCATCAGTATCATGTATTACCAAATCAGTTTTGCAATCAATATTAATTTTTGTCATGTCCAGTCTGTATTATTCGTCTTGCAGACATCTTTTAGATGTCTTTAGTTGAGAAATGATAGTTTGAACAGTTGTTCTTTCAATTCCAGGTCATTTCTCATGTTCTTGCAACTTCTTTTTGAAAATTTTCTGTGTGCATATGTACATGAAAGGAAACAAGAAATAGAATAAATGGATTGTTATAGGTAACTAAGAGGAGGTTACTGTAGGTAGCTGGTGGCATAACATTTTCAACAACTAATCATGGGAAAAAAGTATAAGTTAGTAGGTTTAACATTAAAAACAGTCAAATCTGAGTTTTACATCAATTAATTATCTATAGAGCATCCATTATTGAAGAAAATTTTCAGCTGCCTCCTTTTTCCAGCTTTCCAGAAATTTACTGTGAAAATATGTAGGTACATATATTAAAAAAATATAACTCAGTACTCACTGCCGTGAGTGACAGAGAGTGCATTTTCTCGTCGATGAAAACTTGAGGTCACGGACGGACGGACAGACAGACAGATGGACATGACAAGCGCAATAGTGCATTTTTCCATAAATGAGAAAATGCGCTAAAAATTTTACTTTTTATTGCAAGTACCTGATTATCATATAGAAATGGTTCCTCCTTCACAGTTACATCCTCATTCTCGTCTTCAGGCTCCTTCTTGATGTAGATTTCAGGAGTTTGGATGACTGGAGTGGGAGCATGCATGTCCACGGCTGGAAATTAAGGACATTGTTTTACCATTGCCACTCACCATAGTGCAAGATTTCGTATAACAACGTTTCTTAATTTTCAATCAACAAGAAAGCAGGGTTGGCAATGATTAAATCAAAATGATTAAATCACGTGATTAAATCACTTGATTTTTTATAAAAAATCATGATTTTTTTATTTTTTTGATTTTTTCATATATTTAAATATATTGAGTGGCAGTCTTTAATTTATATTGAGGTATTGTTATTCATGGTTCAGTATAAATGTACTATGAATGATAAATTGGTATATAAACTTGTTGCCTTTAGTGTGTATTAAGTTCCAATAAATTGAATGTTTTTGGTACAGAGGCATCAAGTGTGCAATACATTGTACATAGCTAGCAGCTTAGCTAATTCTTATAAGGCTATAAGTAGTCTTCAACTATTTGACTATTTGTTATATATTGATTACAATATACAATTTAAATGTGTTAGCTAGCTTATACAGGGTGGGCCAGAACTGATTGAACAGTTTTGAGGTGAAATAAAAGAGTAATGGCAGTACATAAAGAAGAGAGTTTATTTTCCTCAAGATTAGCATAACATACCATTCAAAATACTTATGTTTTGAAAACAATTTCAGAAAGATGGGGTTTGTTAGCTGCATCACACTGTTGGAGTCGTTCTCGGAAGTTTTCTGCAGCACGTTCACACATACGGCAAGGTATGGCCATAACCTCTGCTGTAATAATCCATCCCCTTAGCTGTGGTAGGGTGTGAGGGCGACTTCTGAATACCCTCTCTTTTAGATGTCCCCAAAGAAAGAAATCGCAAATGCTCATATCAGGTGACCTCGCAGGTCACTGTAAATCACCCCTCACAGACACCAGACATCCGGGAAACATGCGTTTCAAAACATTGAGTGACATTCGGGCTGTGTGAGCTGTAGCCCCATCCTGCTGGAACCGCATGTCTCCCAATGCCTAATTTTCAACAATGTTTTCCATCATGGGCTGCAAGAAATTTTGCAACATTGCAGCATAGAAATCGGAATTCACTGTTGTGGTTACTCCCTACTCTGAGAACGACTCCAACAGTGTGTTGCTGCTAATGGCCCCCATCTTCCAGATATTGTTATGGTATGTGGTATTCCTAATGTGGTACGTAGGTTATGCTAACCTCTAGGAAAATAAACTTTCTTCTTTATGTACCTCCATTACTCTTGTTTTACCTCAAAACTGCTCAATCAGTTCTCCCCCACCCTGTATATTGAGAGGTTGAGATTGTATTGACCTTTTAGGCAATTAGAAAGATTTTCCACTCTCATAGGAGTAGGTATTCTAATTAAAATATTTAATTTTAATCTTTAAATATGTGAATTTAAAACTAGAAACAAAACAATTACAATTGTAAGACTATATATAAAATAAATAAATGCAGTGAATGGATATAAAATATTTGAATTGTGCACATGTTTATTTCAAACAGTATTAGATTTTCTCATAACTTAAGTTTCGTTTCAAGTCATACGAGGTTGGCTTGGTTATCGTTCAGTTTATGTTTAGTATTGGTTTATTGGTCTGAATTAAATGGGAACAGTGCAGTCAGTCACTCAGTCACTACTAGTCGGTGTGTATAGAGGGTAGAGTCTGGTAGATTTATTGGACATAAAACTAGTAGATCTATTGATAGTGCTGTGCACTGTACTATCAGCTACCTATCTGTTATGTGACTCTTCAATGTTTAGAAGATCTGCATTGCCGAAGTGTTTTTGTATATTGAAGCCAGTAAAATGGTCAATATTTAGCTCATTACCTTGCTCCATACAAACTTTACAAAGCTAATGAATAGACTTACCTATAATTGTTTACCCAAAAATCCCTAAGTGGTAAACACCACCTTGGCCTGTTGGCCATTATTGAAGGCAATAAGTGCCCTTTTTAGCCATCCATTATGATTCATATACTGTTATTGTTAGTAGGCTAATTGCAACATAAAATATAACACTTCAAAAAGACAAAAAAGTTGAAAAAATCAAAAAATCAAATAAATAAAAGAAATCATGAAAAAAAATTTAAAAAATCATTGATTTTTGATTTTTTGATTAAAAAAAAAATAAAAAAAAAATCACCAACCCTGCAAGAAAATCTGTGTATTGTTGTGAAAAGAGCTAGAGATTGCTATGGCTCTTTTGCTCTCAATCACTAGTAGACAGCTTACAGGGCTGTATGAAATAAATGGAAAATACGGAAAAACATACCAAAAATCAAAGCCAACTTATTAGGATGTTATAGACATTGACATGTAACACAAAAGATGCTTACCTTTAGACATGACTTTGATGGCACAAGCAGGCACTTGGGGCAGGTTCTGCTCCAAGTGACCTTCACTCCAGAGACTGCATTCTTCGGCATTGGACGCCATTGGATTCAAGTTGATAATTGATTGACTATTTGTCTATTGAAGTACCCAACAGTAAAGTTTGTGTTTATCTGTTCCTCTCTAAGATTTAGAAAGTGCAAATATGCTGAAGAACCTTTAGAAGTGCTTTTGACAGTAGCTCATGAACCAGCTCTTGCAGAAATTTTAGAACTGGAATCTAAGCAGCAGCTAAAAATCAAGCAGCATTAGCCATGAAATAAGTAGAAATGAAATTGAGGTAGTCAGAAAATAATACTAGACTAAAGTCTGATGAAAACTATTCCCATTACCTTGCCAAACATCTAATGTCAGAATATCTAAGCTACTAGAGGGAGACTAATTTTTCTTGCTCAACATTCATGTCCAGAATTTCATCACCTACTCAGCCCTGAAATAAATGAAACTTAAAAACTGTGGCTCTGCTCACAAAGTTTTCCATGTTTAGAAATGTTTAGTCCATAACCATAAACCTTGCCTTAAGCAGGATTGTTGACTCAAGCAGGTATGAGAAACCTGAAATACTTACTTGAATAATTCAGATACTAATTTAAATATTTAGGTTAAATAGGAAACCCAGTATAGGTACTGAATCAGTGAATCTTACTCTAGTAAAATGATTTGAAAATGAAGAACACATTTCACAACATAGATAAATTTTCCACAGACCTACAAACATGGTGAAATCCCAGAAATTGGATGGTCATAATCCATCACATAGTTCCACAAAAGCCACTCATAGATCCGCTTTGCCTACTGGCAGGCTACACTCTGACCTAGTGACTGAGTACTGGGCCACTGTGCAGAGAGTGGATGAATATTGCAAGATCTTTGGCGGCGCTTCAGTAGGCTCAGTAGCAAAAATTTATGCCTTCAGAAGATCTTGCCGACACATTTAGATTGAAATTCTTTCATTTAATATATTTGTCAGTCTTTGGCCAACTATTTAAAAAAAGTAAAGTTTCCGGTAAGTTGGATTGATCAGTATGCAGTGAAGCTTGTCCGGAAATCAGTTGCAATGAGTTCCCACTAAAAAAATGTAAACATCAAGTTTACGATTACGTAGTTGCAGTCACATTAGAGTGGTCAGACTGCATTATCACATGTTCAGTTGACACTTGCTGTACAATCAGGCTGTTTTTAGGATAAAATTTGTTATTTGGAGTAACACGTGCAGCAAACCTTGTAAATAAGTTTGTGGCTTGTAAATAGTTTTTCATTACTCAGCGTAAATGGCTTTTCATTAAAAATTACCCGGCGACGCATCTTAAAATTACCCAGCGACGCTAAGGGCTTAAAAACCCATATATTGGCGATGCTGCATCCACCCTCTGCACCATGGGTACTGGGGGCAGGAACGCCCTATCCAGGTACTAGTCTGTGCAGTGTATGAGTGTAACTATACCGGACCGCAAGCAGAGGGGTCTTAGAGAAACCTTGTCCAACTTAACACAGTTTCAATCTACTACATCAACTAGGTAGTAGGTACTAAATTCCAACTTCCCAAAAATCTGCTCAAAAACACATCACCTGCTCAAAAGTCTTGTACTGAAGACATGATCAACAGCCACATTCACAACAAAGCTTTCACTGATAATGGGAGTGCAGCCATGCAGGCATGCACCACTAATTTTGTGCACCAATCAGCTCTGAATAGAACGCCTAGCACATTTCTGTAACGACTGTAAGGCCACCAATCAGCCGTATATTAATCCTGCCATCAGTAACAAGCCCATGACATCATCTTGTTTTATATATCTTGAGTTTTATGCCACTATATAATGAAGCAAATAGCCCAGAGTGTAATGATCGTCCATAACTGAACATTGCATTGAATCATCACTTCATACAATGACTTTAGCTCAAACTGTAACCAGTGTTCCAGCGGACAACAGACTGCAATCAATCAGCCTAGCTTGCCTGTGGAACTGCATAAATCATGAATCAACTGTTCGCCTGTGGAACTGCATGCCCTACCAGAACACGGCAGACCGCAAATTGAGCATGACTTCTGATGCTTCATTTCATTGAATTGCCTAACTTTTAGCTCATAACATCCAAGGGTGCAGACTGCAGAGTGTGCGAGCAGTGTCACCAAGATATGTTTTTTTCAGCCCAAAGCGTCGCAGGCCATTTTCAAGATCCGTCGCCAGGTAATTTTTAATAAGAAAGTGCTGCAAGCAACTTTGACAGTCTATCCTTTACTATCCATGCACCGCAACACTTCTTCTTCTTCTAGTTCTTGTTTAATGGGGGCTTCGAAGACACCTCCATGTAGCCCCAAGACAGAAAGCTCCAGCATGCACAGCACACCTTTCAAAGAGAACAGGGTGCGGCAGAGCCGCAGAACACAGCTGAGCCTTGAACACGGCAGAGAACACCGCAACACTTATACACAAAGCAACTGATTTCCGGACAAGCATCACTGCATCCTGATCCTTCCGGTACACCGGAAACCTTAATGTGTGCGCTTGTAGTCTTTCAGATTTCCAGTAATTTCAAAGTCATTTCTCATATGAAATCATTTCAATCCAAATGTGTCAGCAAGATCTTCAGAAGGCGTAAATTTTGCTGCAGATGCATTGCCAAAGATCTTGCGATATTCACCCACTTTCTGCACAGTGGATAACATCTGGGTTTAGGTTTCAGATACAGATAGCATTGTTCTGTTCCAAAATCTGTTGTCCGCCCACAAGTGACTGCCAGAACTTTGTTTAATTATGGAATATATAGCTTGCAGCATGTGGAATCAAATTTCAGATAGCTTAGTTCTGTTCCAAAATCTATCATATACTGACAAGACGCTATTTGAGTGAAGGCTGATTTGACGCAAGGGAAAGATATGGACGGGTGGGTGACAAGCAACATATTTACTGTCACTGCAAAGCTCCAACGCGCTCTGTCCAAGTGGTGTAGAATTTGTTTGCGTATTGTCGCGTTGGGTGTTGCAATGCCATCCCTAGCCTAGGTTTTGAATAAGTAAGTAGACCAGGGCATTAGGGGACATGTGCAAGTAAACAATTCCATGTAATAATGTTTATGTAACAGTAAAAAACTAAAATCATTCTGGTCAATCAAATATATGCAAAAACTCCTCAACTTTAATGTATGAACTAAAAAAGGAAGCCACAGTGACTGTAATATCACTGAGAATCACTACTGTACTGCAAACTAGTATATTTTTTTATAATTGGGGTTAAGACTTGTGGCGACAAAAGCGCCCACCAGCCTGATCTCTGTCAGAAAATAGAAGCAAAGCAGCAGAATCGGAGCTCTGCTAGACTAGGTTGCTGCCCCTGCACACTATGGACCAATTCAGTATATCTGTATGACCACACACTTGCTGTGGGTCTCACAGCCAAAAGCTGCTTGTGTCTGGAGATGATCATGTTGCAGGGTAGATACTCTGGAAAGGTACAAGTTTCTTATATGTTTACATGCTTAAATCGCTCTCCATCACAGTAGATTCACCATGCCAGTCTGCAACAAAAATTGTGATAGATAAGAAAATACTAAAGGGCGTTGAGCAGCAGGGATCTCAGCTCCTAAGGCTGTGTTCAGGTTCCAAGGGACTCCAATGCTAGCCAATGCAGTGGTAAAGGCTGCTCTAGGACCTGCGAATCTAACACAGGAAAGCATGAAATGCGAGATGGTGTCCTCCTGGTGACAAATAGAGCAGATTGAGTCCTGTGCCATCCCAAAGCGGGCCCGGTGCGCACCTACGCCCGCGTGGCCATGGCGCAAACGGGCCACTGCACACTGCATTCTCCGACTGAGGCAGCTGTAGTCAATGTGATCAATAGAGTTTTCAATAGTCAGTCGAAAAAGGCCACTGCCAGTCTGNTAATGTATAAACCTGTCTCTTATACACATCTAGATGTGTATAAGAGACAGATTTAAACGTTCCTAGAATCAGAAATTTATTCAATGTATCTTATTGAAATTCTAATGTGCAGGATTTCATCGTGGCAAGAGGATAGCTGGATAGTAAAGAAAGAAACGAAGATCGTCTTTTTTGATCCTTACCGTCCTCGGACCCGCGATTAGGCAGCTACGGTACGCCACAAAAGTGGTAACTCTACCGAAGCCGCGACAATCATTACTATTTTTTTTTGTTTCTATTTATTTTTTCACTATCTCTGAGCCTGTGCTGCCTCGGCAGTCACGGCAGGGCCACCTTCTCCAAAATGGCGGCCGATACTAATAAAATTAATGATGTAACTAACAGTGCAGGTGTCACTGATTTTGAGTGTGTAGATCAAGAAGCATGTCTGTGTTGTTGAGAATGCAACTCTCCTGAGTCAGGGTAAGGGACTCACTATTAAACCAATTGGCTCCAACTCAAGCCCATTTCTTAGAAACCCTGTCAAGTTAGCCCGCGGTTTGAGAGACTCTCCATTTGGTAAATTTTCTGAATTTGAAGTACGTACTAACACGAGAAGAAACCTAATGGCAGTTGAGTTCAGAACCATCTCAAATTCCAACCTTAGTTCTCTCCTTGAAGTATCTAAAATA